AGACCCGCAGACTCCTCCCTGGACGGGAGGGAAGCAGAGGGTTCGAAGAAGAAACTCCCTACACCATGTGCGCCCAGAAGGTTGTATGGGCAAGCGGCCAGGAAACCCAATAGGAGTGCGCGTCTTCAAACATGTGAATCATCCAGCTTACTCCTCGGAGTACTCCATGTATTCCTCCTCCTCCTCATTCTCCTCCTCCCCTCCTCCGCCTCCTCCTCCTCCTACTCCTCCTCTTCCTCCTCTTCATACCCTCCCGTCTGCTCCTCATGTTTCTTACCCTCCTCCTCCTCCTCATCATCATCATCATCCATGTCGCACCCCGAGGCCAGTTTTTAGGCGGGTGGTTTTCACAATGTGGCTCCCGCCTTAGCGCCGCGCACACTCGTTCTAAACATGTGCAACACGGCTTGAGGGCGGGTGGTTTTCAAAATGTGGTTCTCGCCTCAGCGCCGCGCACATCCGTTAAAAAAAAAATCAAGAGAATCACGGATTGAGGGGGACCCGTTTTCAAAACGTTGTTGTCGCCCAAGCGTCGCGCACATTCGTTTTGAACAGCTGCAAGAGTTTCACGGGTTGAGGGCGGGTGGTTTTCAAAATGTGGTTCTCGCCTTAGTGCCGCGCACACTTGCTTAGAAAATTTGCAAGAGCTTCACGGATTGAGGCTGGCTCGTTTTCAAGATGTGGTTCTCGCCTTAGCGCCGCGCACATTCGTTAATAAAATTTGCAAGAGTTTCACGGATCCCCATGACCAAAATACCAGAAACAGCGGTTTGGAAGGATTCCGGATTATGAGGGTGCAACAGTTACGTTCATTCGCGGTGTTGAAGTCCCAAGAATGGCGTTCTCGCACGGTTCAGGCAAAACGCAACAGTCAGGTTGATCCGTGGGGTTGGAATCCCGAGAACAATGTTTTGGCATGCTTCAGGGTCTTCGAACGGTTGTCTTCCAACGAGGCAGTTCCCCCAATGGAAATGAACCGTTGTAGGGGCCTATGAAGAGGGAACTTGGAGGGAGGGTTGATTCCAACATCGTTGATGACTCTTGGATTTACATTGGTCCTCCTCCTCCTCCTCCTCCTCCTCCTCATCATCATCATCATCATCATCATCATCATAATCGTCGTCGTCATCGTCATCGTCATCGTCATCGTCGTTATCATCATCAGCCGCATCAGCATCATCAGCAGCATCATCCTCAGCATCAGCATCAGCACCCTCATAATCATCATCAGCATCATCATCATCATCATCATCATCATCAGCAGCAGCAGCATCATCATCGTCATCATCGACATCATCAGTATCACCATCGTCATCAGCATCATCACCATCAGCAGCAGCAGCGTCATCTTCTTCTTTTTCGTCATCATCATCAGCATCGTCATCGTCATCATCAGCAGCATCATCAGTATCATCATCATCATCATCAGCAGCAGCAGCAGCAGCGTCATCTTCATCATCATCATCGTCATCATCATCGTCATCGTCGTCATCATCAGCAGCATCAGCATCAGCATCATCACCCTAATCATCATCATCATCATCAGCATCATCATCATCATCATCATCATCAGCATCATCATAACCGTCGTCATCATCAGCATCATCAGCATCATCAGCGTCAGATTCATCATCAGCATCATCATCATCATCGTCATCATCGTCATCTGCATCATCATCAGCATCATCATCAGCATCAGCATCATCGGCACCATCATCGACATGTTCATCATTAGCATCAGCATCAGCACCCGCATCAGCATCATCAGCAGCATCATCATCGTCATCGTCATCGTCATCTTCATCATCGCAATCATCGTCATCGTCATCAGCAGCATCATGATCATCGTCATCAACATCAGCAGTAGCATCATGATCATCGTCATCGTCATCATCATCAGCAGCAGCAGCAGCATCATCGTCACCGTCATCGTCATCATCCCAATCATCCTCCTCACCACCTCATCTTCGAGCAACTCCTTGCTGGGCCAGCGCCGTCGAGCCCTCGAGGACGATCAGCGCTTGCTGGGCGGCCGCCATGCTGCGAACGAGACGAGGACGATCGGAGCTTCTTGGGGCGGGGGAGACGGAGGAGAAGGAGGCTGAGGAGGGCGTCGATGGTTTTCCCGATGTTTGGGTTTCTGGGGGCGCCCTCGCCGCCACGGCTGGATCCGTATCCGCTCTGAACGCGCTCCAGGAGAGGTGTGTGTGGGGGGGGGGGGGGGGGCGGGCGACGTTGGGCTGGAGGAAGAGGAGGAGGAGAGGGAAGGAAGTAGGAGGAGGAAAAGGAGGAGGAGGAGGAGAGCGAAGGAGAGGAGGAGGAAGAGGAGGAGGAGAGGGGAGGAAGTAGGAGGAGGAGGAGGAAGAGGAGGAGGAGAGGGAGCAGGTGAGGGAGCAATGGCAAGGATGTCATCGGGAATGCTGTCGAGGAATGCGCCGAGAGCGATGGCGGAGAAATCGGCAGGTGTAGCGTTCTCGAGGGTGGTGTGTTGGTGGCCCCTTGCCAGCCAGGACCTCCACTTAGTGCGGGTCTGGCCAGCGAGCTGGGCTTGGGCGCAAAGCGCGCCTTGGGTGGCCGTGAAGGCATGTCGGCGAGGCGCGATCCCTTCCCCGGGCTGGCAGAAGGATGGGCAAAGGCTAGTGGTGGCGGCGCAGGAGGGACAACGGGAGTGGCAGCGCGCGGAGCTGTCCCGCGGCTGCCGGCGGGCCGTGCTCCGATGGCCGCGGGCCTGTGGTCGGGGGCGGTATCGTCGCCGTAGGGCTGCCTTTGGGGCGGCGGTGCTGGTGCTGGTGCTGGTGCTGGTGCTGGTGCTGGTGCTGGTGCTGGTGCTGGTGCTGGTGCTGGTGGCAGGGCGGGGGTACCGGACAGGCGGCGCTCTGGCACCGCGGGCCGACCGCGGAGGACGCCGCGTTGCCGCCACAGAGTTGCGGCGTCCACGCGCAGAGCGGCAGGCGCGCGCTGGCCGGCCGGCCGCCAAGGGGCAGGAGGACCCCTGAGCGGGGCCCGGGCTCCGCCTTGCTGGGCGCGGAGCCTTCAGCCTTGGCAAGTTCGCGGAAGCTGGCAGCAGCCGCGGACTCTGCAGGCTGGTGTGCGGTGGCACCCCCATGCAGGGCGGCTGGCTTGGCGGCGTGGAGCCGCCGGGAAGGCGATGCTCTCGTCCGGAGATGTGCCTGCGCAGTGGAGGCGGGGAGCACCCACATGTCGTGGAAAGTCGCGGGACACCTGCCCCCTGTGTGAAGCGCGCGCGGAGCGGGACTTGGAAGCGGGAGGGCTGCCCTCAGCCGCTCCGCGGTCGCCGACCCCGCAGTCGTGACGGCGGGCTCGGGGCGCAGGGGGGCTGCCCACCGTTGCAGCCTCGTGCCCTATGGGGGAGGCGTTGCTGGTCGGCGCCTTCGCGCCCCACTGGGGGGTACCAGAGTGAGGACCACGACGCTTGGTGTAGGTGATGGCGATGTCCTTCTTAATGGCAAAGTCCATGCTATGCAAGCCGCGCATAGCTTCGGCATCCCAGACAGCGCAGAGCCCGCTGAGAAACCTGGACAGGAAGAGCTTAGGGTCGGTGTTGAACAAAGGCTTGCTTGGATTGCGGTGGTAGAGAAAGTCCCTCCAGACGTCCTGCCCGCTCATGGCCCGGCGTATGTCGTTGACACGCTTCAGCAGCGTGGTGGGAAAACACACACACATACCTTGAGACGCCTCGAGCCTACCTTGGAAAGAAGAAAGAAGATGTTTGACGCCTGGAGGCTCAAAGTCCTCCCCTTCTTCTCCCACCCCCAGCCCTTCTCAGGCGCCCAACCTCCCTCCCACAGGATCAAGAGTACCCGATGAGGTGGCCTTAGACACCACCGCACGTTCCCAGAAAACCTTAGGGGACCTTAAGAAAAATAGGGAGGATCTAAGAAGTTAGCCTGGCGAAGAAGCCGACCAAAAACGTGTGCGTGGACGCCAGGCGAGCAGGCCCACTCAAGACATAGGTGGGGCTCCCTGTGGAGCACGAAACGTGTGTGTGGGAGCGGAGGGGGGGCGCCATGGGCGCGGGGGCACCATGCGAGCACGCCCACTGAGACCACAGGCTGAGCTCCTTCTGTGGCACGACACGTGTGAGGGATGTGCCGAAACGGGCGCGGAAACGCCATGCGAGCACGCCCACTGGAGCCATAGGTGGGGCCCTTTGTGGGCCACGGAACGTGTGGTATGTGTGTGTGTGTGTGCCGACATGGACGCGGGGAGGCCACGCGAGCACGCTCACTGGGGCCATAGGTAGAACTCCCTGTGAGGTACGAAATGGGCTCGGGGACGCCACGCGAGCACGCCCACTGAGGTCAGAGGTGGAGCTCCCTTTGGGGGCACGAGACGGGTGAGATGCATGCCGACATGGGCGTGGGGACGCCATTCGAAATGTGCCAGGAGAGGGGGGGCGGGGGGGGGGGGGGGCAAGGGCGCGGGAACGCCATGCGAGCACGCCCACAGGCCATAGGCGGAGCGCCTTGTGGGCACGAAACGTGCGAGGGTGTGCCAAAATGAGAGCGGGGACTCCATGCGAACACGCCAACTGAAGACATAGCTGGAGCCCCCTGCGGGCCACGAAACGTGTGGTGGTGTGTGCCGAGATGGGCTCGGGGACGCCATGCGAGCACGCCCACTGAGGCCATAGGTAGAGCTCCCTGTGAGGCACGAAACGTATGAGGAATGTGCCGAAATGGGCGCGGGGACGCCACGCGAGCACGCCCACTCGGGCCATAGGCGCAGCTCCCTGTGGGGCACGAAACGTGTGAGGGGTACGCCGAAATGGGCGCGGGGACGCCACGCGAGCACGCCCACTGGGCCAGAGGTGGAGCTCCCTGCGGGAGCGCGAAACGTGTGAGGGGTGTGCCGGATTTGCCCAAATTGGCAAGGGCAGGAGAGGAGGAGGAGGAGGAAGAGGAGGAGGAGAAGAGATGAGAGGAGGAGGAGAGGAGGAGGAGAGAAGGAGGAGGAGGGGGAGGAGGAGGAGGAGGAGGAGGAGGAGGAGGAGGAGTTGGAGGAGGACAGGACAGGACAGGACATCCGCATAAGGGGGTCAACGTCAACACACCTAGACTGGTGCCTTTCGCGCGTCTGGCAAAATCCCCTGCGATTTGGTTGTGCAACGGCCCTGGCTTCTTACTAGGGCCGGCAGGGGGCATACCCCGAAGCTTCAAGGTGTGAGCTCCGAGGCGGCCCCGTAAGAAAGGCTCGCTACCTTGCGAGTACGAGTCCCTGCGGGTCAGTGCGGGGGGTGCAGCTGTTGGCCCTTCCGCGTGCCCGTGGAATTGGGGACGCGCTGGGCGAGCAGGGCTCCCAAGCAAGGGGGGAAAAGATGATGACACGACCATTCGAAAGGAGAAGAGGAGGAGAATCGGGAGGCCCATGCTTTCCAAACTTCTGCTGGGAACCTAATTATCCAATTGGTTTCTGATATCCTATTATCTCCTCTTTCTCTCTCACTTCCCTTCCAGAGCGAACTGGCCGATAGTTGCCCCATGCATTGTCGTATCTGTAGATACCCTGCAGTAGTATCACACTGTTCCCCCTCGAAGTGCAGGTAGGGAGGAGCATATTGATAGTCACGGTGTGTTAGAGGTGGGGGCCTCGAGAATGTGCTCTGGTGGCTTTCGTGATTATCACATGTTTCCCATTCCTCACTCCTGTAGTAGTGCACCTGTCGGCACTCCAAAAAACAGTTCCCAAGACGTTGTCTGCGCGAGCACTTTCTTGAGGGTCCTCACGCCGAGATGGCCCCGCTAGTGATGGTCCCACTGAGTGTGCCCGTCCTGCCTGCCTAGAGTCGCACTCCGAGAGATCGTCATTAATGCACCTCTTGGCGTTGTCAGTGGGCTAGACGGAGGAGGAGGAGGGAGGAAGGAAGAAGACGCGCGGCGCTGCAGATTCAAAATGATATCAAAATGAGGACCCAACTCACAGGAGGGCTGGGACGCAGGAGGCTTCCAAGAGGTCTCCCAGATATCCAAGAGGGCCCGCGGAGGCCAACAGTTTCTGAGCAGCAGGAGCTTCAGTCTGATGTTGGCATGTTTGCCATTTCGGCCGGAAGAGTGCCCAAGGCAGCCCCCAGAAGCCCATGAGACCGCCCGGAACCGACCCGACAATCCCCAAGAGGGCCCCAATAACCCTTTCAAAGCCAAGGTACCAACCATACAACGTCACACCCAGGTTCTACAGGATGGGGTTAGGGATCCTTTCGGTGCGGCCCTACAGCGCCGAATTGTACTCCCCATGGGCGCCCCAAAACGCCCAACAAGACTTCAACTCAGGATGGGCCCCAGGCACCAGGCACCATTCGTTGAACGGGCCAACTATTGAAGTCAGCTCAGCAGCAGGAGAGAGGCAGTTGGAGGCGTGGCTCTGGTACAAAATACATGTTTTATATCTATGTATATATGTATGTATATATAGAGAGACATACGGGTCAGTACAGTTGTGCCTAAAAAACATGGTCATGTATAGGGAGTATACACTCAGACATACATTCATGCATACATACATGCATGCATACGTGCACACATGCATACGTGCATACATGCATGCGTACATACACGCATACATACATACTTGCACATCTAGTAACGTATGCAAACATACGTGCATGCACGCACACATACATACGTCCGCACGTACATATATATATATATATATATATATATACATAAATGTTCATCTACACATATACATGCACAATACACACTGCATGCATATATATATACATGCATCTGTGCATGCTTGCATGCATACAAATATACACACCTACGCACATACACATGCACATACATACATACATACATACATACATACATACAAACAAAAACACATACCTACGTACATGCATGCATACAGACATGCATAGGTACGCACATACGGACATGCATACGCACATATAGACATGCATGCAGACATTCATGCAGGCATCCATACATACATATACACTCATGTATGCATGCATGCATGCATGCATGCATGCATGCATACAGACATGCATGTCTACCTACCTGCCTACCTACCTGTATGCCGGCCTGCCTGCCTGCCCGCCTACCTACATACATACATGGATACATGCATATGTTCTTGCATGCATACATACACGCACACACATACATACTTACACACAGGCATACGTACATACAAGCCTACATGCATACATACATACACGCATACATACATGCATGCATGCATACATGCATGCGTGCACACATGCATACATACATGCATGCATGCATGTGTATACATATCTGTGTATATATCTATATATATATATATGTGTGCGTGTGTCTTTATATTCGTCTAGATCGGCCTTCGGTCCATCCCGCCATCGTGCCTGGTTTGCCGGTCAAACTATCAGGAATGCAATTTGCTTCTCCGCATCCTCATGCTTTGTTCTTCTTCTCATCATTATCCTCACTATCTGCTTATCGGCATACTTAATGTTATTATGGTTCCGTTTCTCGTCCTGCCTCCCGCCTCACCATCATCATTTGTTCTCTTCCTCGCCTTGATTATCATGCCCCTCACCATCAGCAGCTGCATAATTACCATAACCGTCCTCTTGATCCTCATCTTAATGATGGCAATAGTCTTCATGTGTTCCTTTTCGGCTTCCTCCTCAGACTCCTCATCATAATTTTGCTCCTCTTCCTCCTGTGTCTCCTACTCATCCTGCTCTGTTCTCTTCCTCTCATCCTGCTCCTCCTCCTCCTCCTCCTCCTCCTCCCCCTCCTCCTCCTCCTCATCCTCCTCCTCCTTCTCCCTCCGCCTCCTCCTCCTTCTCCCTCCCTCTCCTCCTCCTCCTCCCTCCCTCTCCTCCCCTGCTCCTCCTCCTCCTCCTCCTCCTCCTCCTCCTCCTCCTCCCCCTCCTCCTCCTCCTCCTCCTCCTCCTCCAACCGCAAGCCGTGAGACTCTGCCCCCCCCCCCCGAAGGACCAAGACGATGAACGTGAAGGGGCACACCGTCAGCGAGGTGTCCGCGAGCTGGACGGGCAACGTCGTGTACGCCATATTCACCAGCGCCATCCCCAGGTACCACGAGGCCAAGCCAGGGTCGGCGGGCGGTCCGCGCCCAACCGCTCCGGCATCGGCGCGGGCCGGCTCGGCACGGCTCGGCGCCGATGCCACGACGATCGGATGCTGCCCGATTCTGGACGCCCGACATGGGCACGGAAAGAATGGGTACAATGCCCAACAGCAGTTCCTGTTCATTTTGAACAGGATTCGCTGTCCACGCCGCCGCGGCCTGTGCTCCTTTGAGACAGAAGGCCGCCTGCCCAACAGCGGCCGCTGTTGGTTCGGGGCAACATTTGCTGTTGGGCATTGTGCCCATTCTTTCCGTACCCATGTCGGGCGTCCAAACCGATGCTTGCACAGCTCGACGAGCGCGTTCCACTACTCGCAAAGTAACTACTCGCAAATGGCATGGATCCCCCGCGGGGGATCTACGTACGATAAATTCCATCAAAGCAGACAGGTGTTTTTCGGACGCTTGCGAGCAGGCACTTTGCGAGTAGTGGAACGCGCTCGGCGAACAGCGATGTCGCGCGTCAGAGTGCGGCCGATCCGACTCGATCTCGACTACGTGCCAGCACGGCCCGATGCAGATGCTCGTTTCGAATCCATCCGATCCGGTGGTTCGATGCCGGCCGCTCCCGCGAGGCGCTGCTCTCCCAGCTGGAGTCGTGGGCGGAGCGCCCCGCGAAGCAGGGCAGGTACGTCGCCGTGGGCGGCGACAACTACCCGGACGACTGGCAGAGCAAGAACGTCTTGAGGTCGGAGTGCAGGGACGACATGGCGGGGATCTCGTGCAAGGACGGGGGTCGGGTTGTTGATGGTGGCCAGTTCCTCTACGTCATCCACATCATGAGCCTCATAATCATCATCCTCACAATCATCATCCTCATCCTCCTCATTGTCCTCTTTCCTGCCTACCCATCCTCCCTCCTCCCCTGCACCTACTTGGCTCCTCCCCTCCTCTCCTAGGGTTGCTGCATTTCTTCATGAAGCCTTGGAGCCGACTGAGGCAGCCGTACTGTCGCTCATGGGAGAAGTCACACGTGTTCGAGTTTTTCTGGGGCTCGGGCCCCGACACGACATGCGAGCGGGCTGGTTGGGTCCACAACTTGCTCGGGGCTCACTGTCGTGAGGCTGGATTCGAATCTGCCTCGGTGCTCCTGGACCTGGCCAAATTCTATGAGAATGTGAACCATGAGCACTTGCTCGTCGCAGCCAAACGCGTTGGGTGCCCTGTGCATTTGATCAAAGGTTACTGCTCCATCTATGCAGGCTTCCGTGTGCTGCTTTATGGGGGTGCTGCTTCTGTCGTCGTCAAGTCGAACGGTGCGATCGTCGCAGGCTGCTCGGGGGCCACAACCTTCGCCAAGATGTTGCTGCTGGGGCCCCTCTTGGAAGCTCGTGAGAGCAGAAGTTCGCTGTATGTGCGTAACGTGGTTGACGACATTACTGTACAGAGCTGTGGTCCCAGAGTTCAGGTTGCGGCTCAGTTATCAGGCGCAGCCGAGTCTCTGTTCAAGAGTTTCGAGAAGCTGCAGCTGCCAGTGGAGTTTAAGAAGTGCGCCTACCTCTGTTCGAAGGAGGTTGAGAAGCTCCTGTCCCAGGCCTGGTCCCTCCCTACCTCGTGCAGGACGGACACTACGAGGAACCTAGGCACAAACGCGACTCTGGGAGGCCTTCGCAGGGTTGGGATCCAGAATGCCAGGGCGTCTGCGGCGTCGTCTCGGGCCAGGAGGTTGAAGATACTTCAAGGAGCTGGGGCGGACATCGGGATGGTTCACAGGATGGGCCCCGTGGCGTCGGCCTTCTGGGGCTCGTCTGTATCAGGAGTGGTTCCCTCGAAGATGGCTGGTCTCCGAATAGGCGCGGCGAGTTCCCTCGGCAGGCTCCCCAAGGGCGCTTCGGCCGGGCTCAGAATGTACACGTACGGGCCCGGCTCCAAGGTAGACCCCCTGGTGATCTACGCGGGGCATGTCATGTTTATGTGGGCTACTGTTGTCTGGGAGGCGGACCCTCACCATCAGGTCCTGGCCAGCACGATGCGAGCCTCGATCGATAAGTTCAAGACTACGGCCCAGCCTTGGAGGTCGGCGTCCTCTCCTAGCGACGTTACCCTTCTTACTCTCCGGGGGCTGGGCTGGGACTTCGTGAACCAGCACAGCATCGCAGATGATTTGAATATGGTGCATGATCTGTTCAGGCTGTCCCCGACGCAGGTCAGGGCCCTCGTCAGGCAGGGGGCGGTGAGAGCTTCGGATCGACATGCTCGCCAGTTGCAGAACGGCCCAGATGGGCCCCCTGTCTACCCCATCTTCTGGGACGGGATCTCCAGGATGTTCAGGGGAAAATCGAAGGTCTGGGGCAAGCATCACCAGAGGTGCCTTCGAGGCCTGGCCTCGGGAGTGCATTGGCCTCAAGCACTTTTGATTGCGCACATCCTACACGAGCATTGTCAGTTGTGTGGAGGTGAGCCAGGCACCGCATGGCACCGCCAGTACGAGTGCCCTGCTCATGCCGTTCTGCGTCGAGATCTAGCGGGTGTTCGCCCGTGTGTTTGTGCGCAGAAAGTGAAGAAGTTAGGCCCGCTGATGGCGGAGACACTCGCGAGGCGCATCTTCCCTCACCCCAGGTCCCTCTTCGTCGTTGAGGAGCCCACCCAGGTGGTTCACTGGCACCAGCGGCCCGAGACGGGCCTTGCTCTCTGGGCTGCTCTTCCTGGACGTGTCTGCGAAATACATGGGCCTCGACGGGCTCACCCGAGCTGGTTGGAGTATTGTGTCGGTTGACAGGTTCGGGAACCTGGCTTCGGCGGCCCACGGACCTGTTCCTATGAGCACGGCCCCGCAGCAGATTAGCAAAGACGGGGAAGACTATGCTGTACATATGCTGTCGCAAGTAGGGCTTCCCCCGTTTGAGTGCTACATCGATTGCCAGAGCACGCTGGACCCGCTGGCCCGCGAGCCTGGGTTCTCCGAGGGCCCTGGGGCCCCTCGTGCCCATCTTTGGGGGCCCGTGCGGCGATTTCGAGTGTCACAAGACGTTAGGCCATGCGATTGCCGCCGGTACTGAGGCAGGCAGAAGCACCGAATGGGAACGCCGGGCCAACGGGCACGCGGATGACTTTGCCAAGCTAGGGGCAGATTGCCACGGGGTCAGAGACGACGACGCTAACTTGCACAGGGGTTTGCGATGCCTCGCCCGCCAGGCGCGCAGGTGGGCGGGGAGCGTCGAGGTCGCTATGTCGGGAGGTCCCCGTGACACTTCTGGTCTAGTGCAGCGCTTGGCAGGCAGCGTTGGCCTTCGGCAGCTATCCTCGCCCGGGGAAGCGGCTGAGGGCCAGGCCCTGACTGATGATAAAAGGAGGGTGGAGGTTCGTTTGACTCGGGGGAGGAGTGGAGGCCATTCTCTAGACAAGTTTTTAGGGCTAACGGCCACGCGTTCCTGGCCTGCCCTGTTTCTGAGCCTCCAGGGACCCCCAGGAGTAGGATCCAGTTGCGTTGCAGGTGCGGATCGTTTTTCCCTGGGGCTCCCAACCGCTGGAGCACGAGGACCGCGCAGGCCGAAATCGTCTACGGGTGGGATTTATGACCAGCTGAGATGACTTCGGCTCGGCAAGTTGCCGTCCTACAAGAAGGACCTGAACAATTTATCCTTGGGGGCCCCTGACGGCCTGAGCCTCGCCGAGCGCGGGGTCTTGGCTCAGACGCTGCTTGAGGATGGCCAGGACCCCCAGGGCGTGTCAGGTCCCCCAGCGAGCTGCTTCGTGGGGGGGGTCGCCCCGCGTGGGCAGGTTTGGGATGCTTTCGGCTTCGTAGAGTCGGATCTACCTTGGGTCCAGGACCTCGGGGCCGCCTCCCTCCGAGCCTCGCGCAACGGCGTCGAGTCCGACTCGGAGGCCTCCGACTTCGGCTAACAGTCGGTGACGTTATGGTTTCAGGCCCGCCCCAAACAACCTCCCCTCCTCCTCCCTTCCCTCTCCTCCTCATTCTCCTCCCTGCGCAAGGAAAGCAGGAAGGGGGAGGGGGCGAGGGGACGCGGGAAGAGCAAGAGGGAAGGAGAGAGAACAGAGGAGGAGAGGAGGAGGAGGAGGAACAGAGGAGGACAAGGAAGAGGAGGAGAAGGAGGATGAGGAGGAGGCAATCAGAGAAGAGAGGAGGAGGAGCAGGAGGAGGACGAGGAGGAGGAGGAGGGCGAGGAGAAGGAGGAGAAGGAGGAGGAGGAGGAGCTCGGGTGGTCAACGTAAACGAAGATGTGGATGAAGACAAAGAAGACAAGGAGAAGGAAAATTTAGCCTGGCGATGAACCCAACCATTTGCAGCTGTGCGTAACGCAGCTGCGAGTATCGTCTTCGGTGGAGCTCCCTACGGGGCCGCGAAACGTGTGAGTGGTGTGCCGAAATTGGTGCTGTGGGCGCACGTGAGCACTGCTGGTGGGGCCTTCGGTGGAGCCCCCTTATAGGGCTACCAAAAAGTGTAAGGGCGGTGCCTGTCTGGGCGCGGGGGGCGCATGCGAGCTCTGCCATTAGGGCCGTCGGTGGAGCTACCTATGGGGCCATGGAGCGTGTGAGGAGTGCGCCGAAATGGGTGCGAGGGGCGCATGCGAGCACTGCCACTGGGGTTTTCGGTGGAGCTCCCCATGGGGACACGTGTGAAGGGTTTTCCAGAATGGGCGCGGGGAGCGCATGCGAGCATTGACACTGGGGCCTCCGGTGGAGCTCCCTATGGGGCGACGGAACATGTGAGGGGGTTGCCGACATGGGCGCGGGGGACGCATGCGAACACTGCCATTGGGGCCTTCGGTGGAGCTCTCTACTGCGCCACGAAACGTGTGAGGGGTGCCAAAATGGGTGCGGGGGATGCATGCGGGCACTGCCACTGGGGTTTTCGGTAGAGCTCCTTCTGAGGCCACGAAACGTGTGAGGGGTGTGCCGACTGTGTGTGCGGGGGGCGCATCCGCACATTGCCACGGGGGCCTTCGGTGGAGCTCCCTATGGAGCCACGGAACATGTGAGGGGTGTGCCGAAATGGGCGGGGGGGGCGCATGCGAGCATTGTCGCTGGGGCCTTCGGTGAAGTTCCCTACGGCGCCACGGTACGTGTGAGGGGTCCCGAAATGGGCGGCGGGGGCGCATGCGAGCACTGCCACTGGGGTTTTCGGTGGAGCTCTTCTTGAGGCCACGAAACGTGTGCGGGGTGTGCCGACTGTGTGTGCGGGGGGCGCATGCGAGCAGTGCCACGGGGGCTTCCTGTGGAGCTCCCCACAGTCAACCCGCATGGTAAGGATGGACAACATTCCCAAGGGTACTCTTGCATCCTTGCCTCCTCGGTCCATCCTGGGTCGTTTTCATTGGCCGCGCCCCGCTCACAAAACTTCGAATTGGGCTTCCAAGGCCCTTGCATCCTTATCGCGCATTCTTATAATACGGGTTGATTGTATGGAGCCACGAAACGTGTGAGGGGTGTGCCGACATGGACGTGCGGAGGGCAGAGGCACGGATGGAAGGAGGGAGGGAGGGAGGAGGGGGAGGAGGAGGTGGTAGACGCGGGGCATTGCATTTTCAAAACGAAGATCCAACCCCACGGGATGGTTGAGAAAGAGATGAGCAGCAGCAGAGCTGTGAAGAGGATCAACAGCACGAGCAGCAGGAGTGGAAGTGTGGGGGCATGACGAGGAGCGTGGAACCAGGAGGGCGGTGTAGGTGCAGGAGTCTTAGTAGGAGAGGGGGGACAGCGGAGACGAGGGCAGGGCAGGAGTGAGGAGGAGCGGGGGCTCAGCTGCTCGCAGGAGGCCACCCTGCTGTCGGAGGGCGCGGCGCGCGGGGCGGATTGGCTGTACATCATCGGCGAGGACAACTACGTGAACACCAAGAATGTCGAGAAGTGGCTCGAGGATAAGGACCGCGGATGCCGTAAGGGCCAGGCGGCCATCGTCGTTGTCGTCCTCGGATGAGTTCGACTATGTCTCGACAGATTTCGGGAGCTCTCGGAGGTTATCTGACTTGTCCTGCGCTCTTGGTTTTCCACAAGTCTCGAGTGGGGGCGGGGGGGGGCACTTCTACGGGAGAGGAGGAGGGCGAGTGCGTGACCATGCGGATTCTGCATATGGTCTTACACTTCCCCTCCTCCTCCTCCTCCTCATCATCATCATCATCCTTCTCATCATCATCATCATCATCATCATCATCATCATCATCATCATCATCATCATCATCATCATCATCATCATCATCATCTTCATCTTCATCTTCATCTTCATCTTCATCTTCCTCCTCCTCCTCCTC